GGGGGGGGGGGGGGGGGGGGGAAAGGGGTGTGAGAAGGAAAGGGGCAGGCTGGTGGCTAGGACTAGCTGTCCTCTCCCTAGGGTCTGCTTCCCATGGAAAACAGGGTCTAAACTAGAGCAGCCCTGAAGCTGTCATGATACTGCCATGCCTGCTTTAATGTCCTTAGACTAGGGAGCACAAAAGTTTCATAAACCACCTTGCACACACCTTTCCACTCCATGCTTTTCCTGTGCTCTGTGCAGCATGGCTATTGTGATTCTTCCCTTGTGGAGCTGTGCTGCTCTTCATCATTTTCCTGAGGATCAAAAACTTATGAAAGTGGCCATTGAGTTAGGTCCTCCAAGGTGAGGTACCTGAGTTTTGGCTCTGTTGAATGCTGGCAGCTCTAAAGGATGAGCTGCGGGTGCTCTGCTCCCCTGTAGATCAGGTCAGAAACCCAAAAGCAGAGGCCCCCTGCAGAAATGTTGGCCTTCTGTATCACCTGGCCAACCTTTGATTGGGAATAAGGAGGTAGAGGAAATGGGAATGTTTGTGACTGACCATTCCCAGTTCAGGACTGGACTAGCTAAAAAGAGAGGAAAAACCAGTGTATGGGAGCATATTTCACATGCAAAGTGCTCTGAAGCATTATGCGTAGAATATATTTTGCTTCCAACTGCAAATCTTATGTATTCCTCATACCCCTGCAACGAGTTAAAATTTTCAGAGTTTAAAACTAGCTTCAAACAGAAAACCTTTATTTTCCAGATTTATCCTTGAGTTATTTTGAGACCATTTGTTTTATAAATGTGATTCAGTGTTCATACTGTATATCTCTTCTTGTGCTGAATTTTTCCATGAGGCAGTGATACACTTCCGGACTATGAATAAATGAGATCAACTCCAGAACGAACGTATAAAGACTGTCAATATAATACCCTTTTATGGTAACAAGACAGTCTAATACTTGCTCCTTTGAAAAGAAACTGACTATTCTCACTTAATTGTTTTACATATATAGTCAAAGACCACAGAGCTTGCAATGTGAAGCTGTAACAGACATAGATATATAATTAACTTCATGGGCACAAGTCACCTACAGACCTGGGTGGGTTACTACAGTGTATAAAGTTAAGATCGGGCCTGTGCGTGCCTGTGGGATCAAGGGTTGAGAATCCAGTTGACACCAATGGGCTGTGTGTTTTCAGTTGAGCTTTGGAAAAAGAGAAGCAGGTGGTGTGGATAGGGATGCAACATACAGACGTTAATTCAGGTTTAGGCTTGTTTTTTGCTTCCCAAACCAGTACAGTCCCATTTATTTCTAAGATGCCTGGCTCAGTA